CGTGTCGTCGTCGTACGTACGTACTATATATATATATATATATATATATATATATATATATATATATTTGGGAAAATTTGGTAAAATAGTATTATTTAGTGTACATATAATAATAGTGAAATACATTATTTTTACGCGCATAATAAATTTATCTATACGTATTCAATATATTTATCTGATTATTTATGTGCAAATAATAAATATATCCGTGTATAAAATCTCAAACTATCTCTATATTAGTATATGATTTTGAAAAAGAATAATTAAAGGACTGAGTTAGCTAATGATTTTTTTATTATGTTCATATCATGTAAATATATAAATAAAATTGATAAGAAATGTTTTACACTAGATAGTTTACTTAGTATAATAACAATTAGTGGGAGATTAGTATGCACTACTTTCAAAAAAAACAAACATGAATTTATGATAAAACTAAAAAAAATATTTTTTGACTAACTTCAAGAATTTAAAGACAGGAAACATCGAATCAAAAATTTCTTTTTTTGAGTTGAATATCTAAATGGTTATTCAATTTTGTTTAATGTATCTTTCAAAAAGTCATTCAAATTACCTAATTGACTTTCATGGGTGTCTAACTTTTTATAGTAATTATAATCAGAAATATAATTTTCGATATTTATATAATAATGTGATAATAATAATTTCTTTTTTTTAAATTAAAATAATATTTAGAATTACTTAGAACACAACTCATCCTACAATACAAACAATTACTTGATCCCCCTACCCCCCCCCCCCCCCAACTTTCATGCATGAATAATTGTGTTTTGACATTGTGAATCACATGAACATGGCACATGAAATTAAGTTAATGATTATATGGTTGAAATTCGTTCGAATCATAAAAATCTTTAAGAAATGTATTATGAAATCTTCACAATATAACAAGAACTAGACACATGAGTACAATTCAACATGCACCATTAAAAAAAAATATTCAGTAAAGTTTAATGAGTAGTCAGTTCATCAAAAATATTTTCAATAAACTTTTCAAGACATGATTTCGTTTAAAATACAAACAGAACCAGGAGTTGCTCAAGAAATCATCAGCCCTTAATCAAACGATTTGGTCAAGTAAAGTGATTATTTTAATTTGATTTTAAATGAAAGCCCTAAAGGTGATTATATTTGCAATTCATCCCTTCAAATATCGAATGGTTAAACCAATTTATTTTTTTTTTAAAAAAAACAAACTAAAGTTGTATAAGAACGACCTAGTTGACTTAACTAATATTTTTTTTTCAAATCATATGTCATACACACATATATTGTTAAAAATATTTATTTATTTATGATGTATAGCAAGACATATTTAATATCATCTATTTATTATTTCATATATATAAATGCATGGAAATCATTTACGCGTTTTAGGTCAAAATTGCAAAAAAAAAAATTTAAAAAAATTGAATTTTGGCCATTGAAAGCAAAGAAAGGTTGTATGTGTCACATAAAGTATTAGTTAGTTTACATTTATATATACTTGAAATGACTCTTCAACTAATTCCATCAAAAAAATATTTTATTTTTATATTTTAATAATAATAAGAGTAGTGAGCACGTCATTTGAATTAGTGGATATAATTTAAATTTAATTATATTACCTCTTATGACTCATAACTAACAATTATGTAAGCAAGGTCATACTATTTCTTTTACAAGAAGATAATAATTGTAGTAATTTATTGATATATATATAAAAAAATTATAATAACAGCAACGATAATAATATATCTCGTGTACTTTCATAAGGGATGTCTTAAAAAAGATGACGTGTGTCGCTTTTACTTGTTCTTCTGAAGGTAAATAAGTTATTTCGAATAGACACAGAAAAATGTGTAATAGTATTTAATAGTAGTAAATTGGGACAATTAACCAAAAAAATGTAGTATGAGATAATTGCAATTTTGGTCTCTCAATTTTTGGTAAATTATGGGTTTAATAATCATAATCTTTTATTAAGTATATTTTTTTCTTTAAGTAATTAAAATGTATGTATATGTGATAATTCATCAACTATTTTTAGAATTATAATATCTCCAATATGAATAACAGTACAATTTTAACATAACATATTAATTACGGAATACTTGGACACTTGATAATTTGTTAAATTTGTAATAATAAGGTTAAGTATTTTGAATTAAAAATGATAATTCCCCAATAAATATTTTTATTAGGTAGTAAAATTACGTGCATGGAGAGCAAGAACATTTTAAAATAATAATAATGGGTGGCCTATCGAAATAAATATATACAGCTCATACTAACAAATTTTCAACTTTATAAAGGAAGTCTTTTATTTAGTTAGAAAAAAGAAGGGGATAAATTATAAAATAAAACTTATGAAAAATATTTTATTAATATTTCATTTCACCTTAAAATGTTCACACTAATTTGAGATTTTAAAGTTTAAAAGGGATATAATTTCTTTCTGCTTAATAAAATGAGAATTAAAAACATGAAAATTTTATAAGTAGAACGAGTTTCAAGAAAAGACAAATATATATATATATATATAGACATATATAGAATTAAGTGATTGAAGTTAAAAAATATCAAAAGATGATCGGTTAAAATATTTTATCACATATTATATCGAAAATATATATACACAAGTTAAATTTTTATTATACATATCTATTATCTTTGATATTTTCAAAGAAATTTCGTTATTAATGAATTGAAATCGTAGAACTCAATTATATTTGGTAAATAATAATGCATGATGTTTATCTACTTATGATAAAAAACTATACACAATAAAATCGTGAGTCGTAAGTACTCTTTCGTCTTTAATAGAAGTCTCAAGTTTGAGTCTTCTTAGATACAAAGTCGTTTTTATTAAAAAGTGCTCGTTTTACTTCTCAAATACGAAACTTTTCAACACATATTCAAATTTAATCATACCCCCAGTATAAATATCGAACCCCGAACGAAAAATAATAATAATAAAAAGATTTAT